ATCCCGCTGTTGTGGTTTTGCTTAAATTAAGTTGCTGAGCCAGTTCGCCTAATTTGCTCTGAAAGGCTGCTGTTCAGGTGCTCAGCTGATTTATTGCTTCTCTAAGTGACCATCCCGAGCGCCGCCTCGTCTATTAATTGCTGCTGCCAGCTCAGCCTATCACCCCAGTAGTAGGTGCATACAATTAGCAGGGAGCAGCCTCCTCCTCCTCCTCCTCCTCCTCCTCCTCCTCACAGGGGCTGTCTCCTCCTTGCTGGACCGGCAATTTAACATATTTTTCACAACACAGAACTAATGGATCAAAAGATGTTAGAAAAGCTTTCAAGGTAGGCGATGGAGCAAAACACCGAGAGTCTCAAGTTTCTCCTGTGTTAAATTCTATTTTCTGCTGGAATACGTTTGGGATACTACGCAAAAATCTGGAATGCTGGAAACCCCGATTTAACAAAACGCGTGAAACAGCCGCCTGCACACACAAGTAATCTCGGCCTTGCTCACTTTTCGTGTGCCTACGTGTGTGTAAAGACGGATCACAAAGCCCCAGTGTAACCTGAGGGGTAAACCTCTCTCTAACACACACAGACACAACTCCAGCAGCAACAGCAATACTGTGAGGGTAAACGTATTCCTTAGGAAAGGTGTTCAGAGGCTGCAGCCACGAGGCTTTTCGGAGACTACTGAGTGGTGAAGCCTGAAGATCAGGCAGTAAATAATGCAAAAATCCAAACCTGAGGAAAACAACAACATGTGCAGTATCTCATCCGTTTCCTGTGGCAGCAGCCCCCTTCCAGAGAGCCGAGATGCTCCTCACAGGCTGCTCATCCCCCCGCCTCCTCCGCTTCCAGCCCCGTTCCCAAGGGTTTGCGGCACAGCCCTGGGGCTCCGGCTTCACAGCCACCCCCGGGGGGGACAGAGAGGGACAAGGTGGACACAAAAAAAAAGCTGCAAACGCAACTTTAGCAGCTGCTAACGCACAAGCTGCTTCCTGAACGGCAAAGCCCAGCTCCCAACACAGAGGTGTTAAAATTCCAGCGCTACTGAAATTGTATTTACTTTGGAAAATTAATAATTTTTCCTCCTAACCTGATGACTTGTGTGGGGTTTTCCAGAGTCACGGCTGAACAGTCTAAAGGCAGCTGCTCCAAGGTGTAACATTTTACAAACGGGCCTCTAATGGCAGAAGCATCTCACCACCAGGCAGTACAACGCAGTTACACAGGCCGGGATATTTCTATTTCTGTCCAGAAATTTCACTTGCGTCCCCTCCTGCCCAACAGGCAAGAACGTCCGCTGCTCTGAATTTAGGACGTCGTAATTAAAAAACGAAGAATGGTATCAGGAGTCTGCACTGGGAACCCAGCCGCCGGCTGTTTAATCCAGAAATCACCAAACCCGGAGTGAGTGCCGGGGATCACGTAACGTGGAAACCCTCCGATGGCTTTTGGAAGGAAACAGGGACGCGTGGCCAGCAAAAACAATCTAAATAACCCAGTGCCCTGAACACGCTGTCGCACACGACACTGACTGAGTTAAAGGGCAAAACACTTATCATTAATAACTCTATTGATGGCAGATGTTTTGAAAAATTCACTGCATTAACAACAGAATCAAGTATTTTCATATTCAGGACAGGACAGTCATTCAGATTTATCAGCCCATTAACTTTATAAACACAGCATTAGCCACACTTTAAGCGCGACGTGGCGCATCCGTAATGAGAAATTCTTTGGGTGGCATTTTATAATTAAATATCTCATGAACTATTTGTAAGGTCAACAGAGATTAATGCAGGATGTCAGGCAAGGTCACTGCGTGGATTTCTAGAGAATTCCACCCTCTCAAAAAGGCATTATCACAATTATTATTTCCTTAAATACAGTAAATCACAACGTGCACAATTCATACAGCAAACACTCCACGTGCGCTAGCACCATAAATGAAGAATTTGTGTCAATAACTTATTTTGAAATAGGAAATATTGTGGCTTTAGGCTTCAGGCAACTTTCCTCATCGCTCTGGCCAACTCACAGCACAGTTTTGGTACCTGACAACAAAATATGGCAATTAAAAAGGTGTCAGACCTGTGACTGAAGGGGAGGAGAGGCGCCCACAGGAAAGGTTTCTGGGAGCGCCGTCACACCGGTGGCCAGCAGAAAGCCCCGGTGGCTACCAGCTCTCCCCCTGGCAGCGGGGGGGGAAGGAGGGAAGCCATGCTCTTCAGGAGCCCGCCCAGGCTTCGGGCAGCACAAACCACATCCCGGTGGGCAATCCGGAACTGCTGTAGCTAAGTGCTGCTGGTTCACAGCACTCGCGTCCTACAGCCAGCTTGCGCGAGACCACGCTACACCTTATCAACTCCGCAGCTGTTTGGAAGGGCCAAAAATATTTTATGTGTCACTGGAAGACAAAGAAATAATCTGTGTGTATTTTAGTACGCTGCCTGAAAGTCCTAACAGGACACATATATCAAAAAGAAACGCCGTCAGCCTGAGTGCATACTAGGAATTTTGCTTCCTCTTGTTTAAAGCAGTGAATTTCCAAGCAAGTAATCCCTTGTTACGTATGTGGAGTAAAGAGGAGAATGGCCTTTAACAAGCACGATGATATAAAGAAAAACACCCCCATCCTGAAAAGAGCATTTTCTGGCAAGCACTATTGCCATTTTCAGCGAGTCTTCGCCTGCCCCGTCCCCCCCCGGGGGCCCGTTGCTGCGGTACAAGTGCTGTGCCGGAGACCAGGCTCACACAGGGCCACCAGCAAACCCCGGCCCGGGGAGCACCAACACTCTTCTACTGCCAGGGAGCAATACTGGCATCAAATTTTTACAGTGAGGAAGAGCTCTGCGTAAAACGTGATGAAGAAGATCAAGTTTACTGCTAATATCATCACTAACCCAAAGTATAATCCAGTCTCTCCTATATTTTTTTCCTCCAACTAGCCTTTATTTCCAATCTTCCTCTGGCTCCTCACCCATTTCAGATACTGCTTTACAGCACTGAACTAAATTTTCAGGATTTTGCGTGTCAAGCTTCATCTACATTAGAGATTGAATTTCAGCCTCTCGGTCAGCAAACGGCTGTGCAGCGTTCCTGACGTTAGGATTAACAGGCCTTCAAAGCTGGGGTTTGTATCTCTGCTGCGCCTAACGGAACAAAACCAACATGCCAACGGATAAACGAAGACACCAGAGGAAAGAACCGGTGAGGATCAAAGATGGGTCTGAACGTCTCAGCCCCCAGCGACGGGCCCAGGGCAGAGCTGTGAGAAGGGCACAGACAAGGCGCTGTTGATGGAAATGATCTGACTTCTTTTCCATGGAGGATCAGGCAGCGTTAGGCTCCACAGCCTGCTGGAAGCGAAGCATAAACGAGCCCAAGTTCGCTCGAGGAGCGTGTCCCTGGAAGACTGGGGAAGACAGAGGAGATCTCCGCATCACCAGGAGCTTCCGAGCAGCGTGGCGAGCGCTCTGCACCGCCCAGACTCTAATCAAGGGTTCCACATCCTCTTATTTTAGGGACCTCCAAAAGACGTTAGCATGGGACTACAGAGGCAGCACTTGCCCTGCACTTCATTAAAACAGGAAAATAAAACATCATCATTATGAAACTCGTTATCCACATACTTTCTAGGAAAATGAATCGCAGTTTAATTAGATAGTTCCTAGTTAATGACTAGGAAAACACAGAATGAGTTTTGCACCTTTCCCGCCCAGAAGTCTCTGCAGCCCGACAGAGATGCTGGAGTGAGACTCCTCTCCACGACACCAAGCAGCACCACGGGGAAGGAAACCAAGGCAAAGCACGTCCTCCCCCACGCCGGCAGTCAGGGCCTTCACGACTTCTTGTGCTGAGGGACAAGATGCTGCTCGGGGAGACAACCCCCTCCAACAAACCCTGTTTGGGTTGGATGCCCGGGACAGGGCTCCAGGCAGAAGGTCGGTCCCTCTTTTATCACTGCCACCTCTCCTCCCCCTGTAACAGCTCTGAGCTGAGGCAATACTCGGTGTTTCAATTTTTTGTTTTTTTCACTCTTCCTCAAAGGCACTTGGGCACGAGGTGGAGACTGAACTAGCGCAGGAGAAATCCACTGCTGGGGAATTATTTTATAGCTGACCAGGTAGCAGCTGGTTTTCCAGGCTATGCTGGCAAAAAGGCTGTAGAGCTTCAGAGATCCTACAGAGATGACAAAGGGACTTTTGCCAGACTCCACGTAAAACAATCTAAGACTGGCACGCTCAGGAACCCGGCCAGAACAGGCGCATGAACCCAGGGCACCGTCGCTGCATTTGCTTCTGTTAGATTTTCCAGTATTAACATCGAACAGTCAACATGTGGGGATGTTACCATCTTCAGTAAGAGCACGTTTACCGTCCCTGCTAGGGATAATTACAGCAACGCTGCGGTACTAACATTGATGCAGGACCAGAATGTAACACTTTATACAGCACACCTTGAATTCCACCATTTTCTATTAAATTATTCTGATTTTTATGTCAGACGTCTTGCACGCTTCTCCCTGCCCTCATCTCTCCTCATCACCACGAATGTTTTCCTCCAGCCTACTGATCCACCTCCCGCAATGTCTGTGGGTGAAGGAGCCCACCGGTGCCCAGTTACAGGGGGAACACCTCCACCAAGAGCAGGACCTGCCACGTGCTGAAAACCAAGGTGAGTCAAGGGAGGAGGCAGGACTAGCGCTGGCATTCCCCTCCCTCTCTCTACTAACCCAAGGAATGTATTCAGGGTTAAAAAAATTACCAGAACGCAGTCTTAAATACGGGCGTTTCGGTTAACTGGGAGAAGGGTGTCAGAGATCCAGCAGAAGAGCTGGCCGATGGCAGCAGCACCTCCGCAACCCTCACACTCAGCCACCAGCTCCACTCAGCAACCTCTTCTCGCACATTCAGAAGATTTTTTCCAACACAAGAATATTTTAAATTAACTCGTTTATACTGAAAATTAATAAGAGCCCTCCCTCCCCACCCTCCCTGGGTTACTCACACGTATGCCTTGCCAAAGAATAATTCGATCCACCGCTGGTCAGCCCGAATCCCTCGGGAATTTGACTGGAGCTGCGTGGCCGAGTGAGCAGCTTTGGAGGTTCGATTTCAGCTCCAAACTCCGCCCCGATCACCCCCAGCAGGACGATGGCCGTGGCTTGCTTCCGTCTCTCTTCGTAGGACGTAGATATTTTTTTCATTTGTGGGAGACCCGACAGACAACCTAAAACGAAAAGTAAGAACTATGAGAAAAATCAAAAGCCGAGTTGTTGTTTAACACCCCAAACAACGCTGTGTTTCCCAGAGAGAGTACAAGAGGCTTCCATTTAACTTAAATCGCATCTTCAGGACCCTTGCTGTCCTTGCCAGGATTTTTCAGCTGGTAGAGATAATTCCATTTTACTGCTCAAAACCTCCAACACATGATAAAAGTCTAAATAGCACCTATTGCAAGGTCTGTCTTCAGCGAGATCCACACTTCAAAACCTGTCAAGATCCCACAGGGAAAAAAGCGCCACCAGAAAACTGTCATTTCATGATTTTATTTGTTCCGTTGATAAAAGATCTGTGGAATTCTGCGTTTGTCTAGGTTTTGTGATAGGTGATTTTTGGTTTGCTTCTTGCTAATTTTTAATTTGCAGGACAAATTTTCTTTTTTTAAAGATGACGAATTTTTAGGATACCTTATCTGTGTTCTAAAAAAGCATCGTTTTGTTTTAGGATCCATCATCATGCTCAGATTCTTACGAAATTTTAGCATAACAGTATATGCCATTAAACCAAACTACTATTTTTGTATACTAAAATGTTACATCTGGTATTTTAACAAACATCCCTAAACCCAGTGTATTGTGAATTTTAAAAATAGTGAAAAAGCCTCACTGCATTATGAATTTTACATAAACCGAGATTTAAATTATTAGTCTAATATAGGCCAAGGATTCTGAAGTTCACTAAGCAGATAAAGCTGTTGAGGGTTTTTTTTTTGGTTTGTTTTTTTGAGTAAAGAAACAGATTCTTAGCAGAAATGGACTGGAATGAAAATACTGTATTCATTTCCTCTGACAAATACCTTTACCTGCAATACTAACCCCTTTTCATACCTAATACTTTTACCCAGAAAACTAACTCACAGCATCCTAGGAAACGCCCTACCCTATATTCTACAGAAATAATGAAGTCTTAATCCTTCTGCCAGCACTCTGCTGCTAAACCTTTGCTGAGAAGTCGGAAGGCACCACCTGGCACTGAAGGAGCCTCACTGGGCTTGTGGATTAATGAAGGGTGAATTAGCGAGTCGCGCTGTACGTCTCTCTCTGCTAATGACATTCCCGGGGCTCGGCAGGGAACGGAATGGTACCTACAAGAACGCTCACCAAATTTTAGAACCTGTGGTAGAAGATGGTCCTCGTTGAGGTAACGGTGCCGTGGCTGTGACAGCGAGGTACCAGCCAAAAGGGAGAGAAAAACAACAGAAAGCTTAACAATGGTACGGGAGGGGGAAAAAAAAAAAAAAAAA